TCCTACCTCCCCCATTAAAATTCTAACTGGAGCAGTCGTTGTCACTTTCTGACACAAAGTGGTCCATGGAGTCAGTAAGACATTCCATGGTGACCTACATAGGAAACCTGCAGAGCCAGCATAAGGGCACAGCTGAATGCTCTGAAATGCCTGTGTCAGTTCTTGTAAGGGAATTCTTGGTGTTGCCACTTCACATGGAGTTAGTGTTTTGCAGAAGCAAAGGTGCACGCACTGTGCATAACTGGGAACAATTTCTGTGGTGCATCATTATTCACCTTTGCTTACTTTGAGAATCCTTGCTGGATGACCTGATGGCACCTACACAGAAAAAGAATATAGGGCAAGACCTCATTCAGCCATCCCTTTTCAGAATCAGGTGTGCTTCAGATCGTAGGGAAGAGCAGACCTCTGTTGACAGTTACAAAAAAACCTAAAATGAATCTTCAGGGGACCTTTTCTTTTCACTTTTCGACAGGCACACAACTTGAAAGGAATGCTAGTGCAGGCTATTCTTTTCCAATGAAGTTATTTGTGTGACACTCCTTTTCCAGTTGTCAGATTCTCATGTGTCAGAGGCAGTACTATACATGCACGGGCTGTATCCTGGTGTGGGATATGGGCAGCCCTCTTTGCTCTAATGCTTTTCAGGAATGTGTGTCTATTTTTAGAATATTCACCAGACATGGGGAAAATCCAAAGCTACTTGTCAGTGCCTTCCACATCTGTACTGAAATATTCCTTTCCTCTGTAATCTGCTTTCTATATGAAAAAGTTGGATGAAACTGAAAGCATTCAAATCCCAAGAACATGTACTAATCCTTGAAACCCATATTACAAATTGAAAGGAAAATGTTTTCTTTCTTATTCCTTTATTGGTTGCCAAACTTACCTATTAACCCAGTTTGGAGAGTTCTTGTTTTACTCTGAGAGGCCACCAGCAGGAATTTTTTAACACTGGTCAGTCATAAATACTCTTGAAAATCTTTGGTGAAATCAGGCAGGGAAAAGACACCACCTGTAAAATAAAAATATTTTATCTTTTCCTATAGGCAAGGAAAGATGAATTTTTATGCTGTCTACATGGAATTCTTTCTAAAATCAGTGGGTGTTGGAGAAACACGCAGATTTTGTTGCACAGATTTAATGGAGTCCCAAGGCTAGCAAGCAGAAAAAAGATGAAAACTCTTTTTTTCCCCCTGAATGGTGCTCAAATTTCAGTCCTTATTAATTAGTAAGGAGAAATGCAGCATTTTTCAGACATTTGTCATTAAAAAATGTTACCAAGATTTCTTCAGTGATTGGATCACATGCTGTTTTTTCTATTACATTAGCAGCTTTTGAAGCCCATGTGTTATATTGATTTTCTCCTGAGAATGTGTATGGTAGGTTTGACATGACATTTCATTGCACTAATTTTGAAGACAGTGTGTAAATGAACAGACAATGATTTGTTTTGTCAGTGCATCCAGGTAGAATGACTTGCTGGTCTTACTAGGATTCAGAGAAGATCTGATGTAGTGCATTAAGTGATGATTTTCTTCAACATACTTACTGTCATTTTCTCACCCATGTTCTTTGATGGAAAGAATATAATATTTTCTACACAGTGAAAATTAGATTTTCTGTATCAGCTTAGCATGTTTTGTGAAAACAGAGATTTTTACCATGATTCAAAAGTTATCAGTATAGTAAGCAATAATAATCAAATGGATTAACTTCACCTAGAAAGGTAACTGGTAGCACTCAAAGAGCAATTAACATAATAAATAATTTTAAAGGTATTCAAACTACCAAAATTGCCATTATGGAGTTTGCTGCAGAAAAAAAGATGAACGAGTAAAATAAATGTGTTTTAAATATACTAGGGCCAGGGAGTAAATTCAAAAACTGGATTGAAAAAAAACTAGTGCAACTCCCACAGTCAGTGAATAAGACAAAGATTTTATATGAACGTGTTTCTTTTTACTTTGGTTTTACCCTTAAAAATGACAGCTCCCCAGCAGATTATTTTCATTTTATGATCAAAAGCAGCACCTTGTATGACTTTCACAGTTGTTTTGTCCTCTCAGTTGTAGACATGGTATGAAGTGGTGGTTTTCGCTACCATTAGGGAATTTGCCTTGATAGATCCAAGCCTTTCTAGCATGTAGCACATTTTGCCTTTCAAGTGCTGCAACCTCTGGGACATGATAGAGAAACTTCCATTAAAAAAAAAAAATCCTGATAAATCCAAACCTCATTCTTCATTTTGAAAATAGATTTTTATGTTTATTGTGATTCAGGATCACAAGATGGATATTACTCTAAGAATGGGCTTTGTTAACTTCATGAGGAAGTTCCTTTGTGTAACCAATGGTGCAGAATCAGGGCAAATGGACAGGAGAGCTCTTGCTTCAAATTAAATAAAGCCTGAGGACAATGTCAAACCATGAGATCTGACCCCTTCACATGCCAGTGAATTACAGAAACGACCAGTTACGTGGCTAAAGCTTCCAGTTAAAGCCAGAATGTTAGTTCTTTTAGAGAAGGCCTGGCCGTGCTGTTGGTAGACCACAGGAAAGATGAATCCCAAAAGCCATGGAATTTACTTGAGATATGCCAAGATAATCTCAGAAAAGATACTGAGTAAAAAGCCAAGAACATGGAGCTGTGTAGCTCCATGGATCATGACACTAAGGATTTTTAGAGATATGCATCTCTTGGATGTGTTCCTTGGTGTCTGTCACAGAGAAAGTTCTTGAAGAACACAAATTCTGCCACTGCATTAACGCTGTTGCCCCAAACCCATGGAAGCTTAATGTCTTTGACACTATGATTTTTTCCTGCCATTTCAATAAAACTAGCCAACAAGTTCTTATATTATGGGAGGAGAAAACTAAACGTGACTACATAAACCTTGTTTTCTTATGAAAGTGGATTAAAACATTTTTAAAGGTGCCTGGCAGTCTGACCTGTAGAAAAAAAAATCGTAGCTCAGGTATTCAATATCACTGTAAACATATCAGTAGGGCATATGATCAAGGCATTCGAGGGGGGCCTCCGTCCCACCTCCCAGCTTACTTACCCTATTCACTATGCTGTTTACAACTCTGAGTTCTCCTGGGTGTTTCGGAGAAAGAAAAATAAAAATGCCGGAAACCAAGTTAGCATGAGAGGAAGAAGGATTGTTTCAGGCACCTGACTGAAGCCCTGACACATGACACTTAATTGCAGTTATTATTTCAATGTGGAGACTGAAGAATTTCATCAATGTTCTGGACCTGTGAAGAAGGGGAAAGAGCACAGTTCCTCAGACCCTCCATACATACTAATGCAAGAAGAACCATTGTATACTCTTCCCAAAATGAGGAATGGACTTGTCTAAGGGATTCCAATAGCCATCAAGATCATTATATTAATCTGCAGCCCCAAGATACTGCTAGACTCCTGTTGAGATCAAAAAACCCCATAATTCTCCCTTGTTTTATTATAAAATATATCTCTGTACGCAAAGACATCTACATATAATAAAACTCTATCTGGCCTTATTGACTGACCTATTGAAAAATAACACACATTGAATTTTCTAAGATTCACATAGCTTGTCTTCTGCCTTATCTATGTAGTCCATTGTTTAAACCCTCCTGTCTAATAATTTCCATTTCATACAGAAACCAGAACTGAGCACTGTTTCTGCCTAAGAATTTCTTATGTGTTCATTCCATGATGGCAACTGATCTTTTCCCAAAGCATTGTGCTGAAAGCAAATGTTGAGGGGATTATCTAAAATGTATTTAAAAAAAATCACAACAAAGCAAAATCAAAAAACAAAGTATTTCTACACACCCTTTTGCACAGTTTAACACTGCAGGTTTATAAGTTGATTTAACTAATTCATGTACGACATTCTTGTTCAGACAAGCCCTTCTCAAGTCTGTGACTTCAGAACAATACATTTAAAGGTGAGCTAATAACAACCTGAAGCAAGATTCAAACCTGTACAAAGGATGCTTGCCAGTATCAATCCATCCATTATCACCAGCTGCCCCTCCAAGCCAACATACCTGATTTTCATTTAAGGAATACCATCCTTTTTACAGCACCTACCAGAGTCAAAGTCCCACTGCATTGGAGAGCCTAAACTTTATTCTGTCATGTGTTATATTGAAATCAGTTTCTTTCTAAGAGACATACTTTCAAGAAGACAGTGTACTGAAATGAAATGAAAGGAATGGAATAGATGTTGAGGACTTTGTGCTGGCATTTAGTGGTCAAAGGGGGAAACGTGTTAAACATTTCATCTCTATACCTGAACGTTTGTAGGGTTTTTTTAGCTTTCATTCCTCTGTTCAGAGTCTATCACAGCTACTTTATACACTTTCATTATGTCAGGATCCCAGAGTCCCCCTCACCCCAGGAGCTTTCATTTTAAAAGCCCTCTGCGAGTAGCAGGAGAGTCATACTGATGTGAATGCTGGCACAGAAAAGGCTGCTTGGCATAAACTTACAAGTAGGAACAAAACACATGAACCTAACACATGAGGTGGGGGGCACAGTGGCAGGACACAGTAACAGAGGCAAAAAAAAAAGAAAATCAAGGCACAGTCTGTACAGCAGCATTCCAGGTGTGTGAACTGAGGAGTTGTGAATGGAGGGTAATGCTGTACTGCTGCAGATTTCTTATAGGTTTGAAGACAAGACATGGGAAAAGAGCGTTCCTCTCAGCTCAGTTAGAGCATCACAGAATAGTTTAATTGCCTGTGCTGTAAAACAACCCTTTTGTCAAAACCACTTCTCACTAACTACTTGTCTGCCAAAAATACATTGCTTATTCCATTCTTTGTCAGATGTAATTGATGCAAATCCAGGTGTACACCAAAGTAGTTGTTGTATATCTTTTGTGCCATCTCAGTTTGACAGCATGCTATTACATGGCAAGTGCCATGGTATAAAAGGAATAGCTATAGTGAGTATACATAACTTCTGTATAAACTTATAATTTTTGATGTCTTATATTTTAGAGGACATGGAAATTGTCTTCTTTCACCTTCCTCCTAGCAAACAGAGCTCTGAACCAGGTAAGTAGTCAAATCACTGCCATGACTTGTCAAGCAGAGTCTAATGAACTCAAGGGCACAGGGATGCCTTCTTGCTCTCAGCTGACTGCTGCTATGAGGGTTGTCACTTGGGAAGTGTACTCAGTGTGCCAGTGCAGTGTATCCATTAGTGCCTGGCTGGGGATTATCACACTCTTAGAGCATGCAGGGCACGCGCCTTGTATAGCATCTTATACAGCATCCTGCCCTCCTGTCAGCGATTACTCTCGTATTGGCCTGCCCTTTTTTTATTCTAGGGCTGTTTTTAATCTCTCTGTAGCTATTCCTGCCCCATAATTTCAAACTTTAATCTTTCTCTAACACCCATATTTGATTTTAAAATGTTCCACTTGGCACTCACCATCTTTGGAAGAATTCTCACCTGTGTTGCCCACAGCCTTCTCCTGTCTGTTTTATTTTATGCATCACCTTCCACTCCAGAGAGTAACACTATTAGTGCACTGTCTGGATAAAGCTTCGCTTTGACACCAACTACAATGTTTTATTACACTCTAATTTTGTCAATTTCTCTGCAGCATCTAACAGTTAAGAGGGATCTTTTTTTAATGTCAGTGTTGGCTGAACCATCGGAGCTTATCAAGCTCCCTGGTGCCAACATGGGTCTTTCTTAAGCTGTTATTTCTTGTCTAAGGCGTTTCAATATTCTATATATTTTCCAAGTTGCAATCACTTGATCTTCCTGACACTTACAGTAAGTATAGTAATCCAGCTATATGGATTTACTGTCCAAGTTATATCTAGTTTTCTAAGAATTATCACAATCAATTAAATGTGTCTTCCACTTACACTCAGGGATTTTCCAGCTTTGACAACTGGAATAGAAGGCCAGAAAGAGAGGAGAGTATAAAACTAGTTCCATGCTGGTGGAGGGATTTCATGCAGTGAGGGGCTGAGAATGTGGTAAAATACAGAGTTATATTAAAATACAGAGTTATAATTTTAGAAAATTATGGGGTACACATGTCCAATAACTAGAACAGCTTTGCTGTTACCAGTGAAAAGAATATATATGCAATATGAGTTGAATGTTTCTCTATTAGTTCATCCAACACTGCATTCTCTAACTCACCCACATTTCTCTCTATCCACTTGGAAAGTATAGTGAAAATCCAGGTTCTGGTATCCCATCACCTGAGGTTGTATCACACTAAAATTTCAGCTCTTAATTTTTTTTTTCCTTTGTGGTTCTGGTGACCCTGCAGTTATTTCTTATATTTTCTTTACAACACTGGAGATTTTATGCAGAAAACACACCTTTGCATTCTTATTTCCATAGCATATCCCTCTTGACTTGAAGAGCATCCAGAGAAACATTGAAGATAGCAAACACCTTAATCTTCATTCTCACTTTTAGGCCCATTCAAGTCAAGGTCCTTCATTGTCTCTGCACCTTCCCCTTCTATACAAAGAATTATAACTCCTTGATAATAACGTTCTTCACTTTCTAATAATCTTAATACTATAAAGACAGATGCCTGTATAATTTGCATCACAGAAATGCTTATTGCACAGTTAGTACAAATGTTGCTTTTATCTGGCCACCCACTACTACTTTCTGACTTTTACCTGTTTCACTGATCGAATCCTTTATATCTTTTTTCCAAAGATGTTATGTTCCCTATAATCTAGTAGCAAGGTTCCATTCCTGCATAAAACAGTTCATCAGCCTCTATCAGGCACAGATCTTTCGGGCTTCTGGTTTCATCACGGGAAGCATTGGGTTTTGAGGAGAAGGATGAAAATAAAAAAACATTAGCAGGGACATATAATGCAATACTTTGCTTTGCCCATGTTTATCTAACTGGTTTTTAAAAATTCAGTTGTTGTGTTCTTATCCTGTTTTTAACTTCTCCCCTGCTCTTTTTATTCCCTCTTCTGCCAGTGGAGCAGTATTGGCAGCTGCTCTGTGCCCAGACTGCTCTGTTCATCTAGCTGCACAGCAGTAATTCCCCTTCAGCTCACACGAAAATCTTACTTATAGTAATAATAGTAATTTATATAATTAAAACTCCTTATAGTATTTGTAGGAAGTCTTTCCTAACCATTTGCATCACTGACTAAGAGATGCTTATATACAGTCTAACTTTTTGAATAATGTTTCAAGGTCTTGATTTCTTTCCTGTCTCCTCTAGTCTGTTGAGCAATCAACTTCCCTGCCTCAGCTCTGGTGGACCAAACTCTTTGTTTTCTTTGCAGATTTCTACAATTTTTAAGGAACTTTCACTGCCTCAGGAATTCTCTTATCTCATTATTTGTAAGCTTTCTTCCCCAGTTGCTTCCACTGCTAATACTTTGTGTTGGACTGCATGTTTTTGTAAGGATGAATGTGTTGAGTGCAATGAGTGAGGCTTTAACAAGACAGAACTTATAATGGCTCTGTGATGCTGGTGGTTATACAGGCATTACCCTCAACACAGGTGCTGAACTAAGGCTGGAAGGTGATGAGACAGACCCTACACAGACTGGACAGTGGAGGCAGAACAAGAATTTGGAACCTCCTGTCTGCCAGCTGCCTGCCTGCTCTGACAAGCCACAGTGCTTCCCAGCTGTACAGTGGATTCTTCAAGCGACCTTAAAACACTCATTCACAGCACTCTGGGGACACTGAATGGCATTGTTAAATTGTGTGCAGTAGAAGCAACCATGGGCCAATTACCCTCAGCTGCCAAATCTTCCAGGACAGCACTCCCTATCAGCATCAGCGCACACATTACCAAGTTCCCAGGAAGGAGGTAGGGATAAATCTCTTGGCACCTTATGCTTTAAAGGAGAAAGAGGGTTGAGGAGTTAGAGCACCTCACATCCCCAGATAAAAAACCCTCAAAGGTTAATCTGAAAAGGAAGGTTGTTAAAGTAATTTTGACCCTTGCAGAATACACACTGTCAGCACAATCACTTCTAACTGAGAGCATCAAATATAGTTTACACTAGAAATTATAATTGCACTTCACAGCCAGAGTTCTGTCTCTCAGTAATGCAAAAGAGACTTTTTAAAATTTGAAAAGTATTTACTATGCAATTGCTTCATTTAATTAAAAACTACAATGTTGAAAAACAATAAAAGAAAATAATTAGTCTTAAAAGTATGAGGTTATTTGTTGAACACCTGTCACCCAAAGGAAATAAAAATCTGAACATGAGATCAAATCAACCAGAATTTTGTTTTATAATGTTAAGAAGTTGAATGTTCTTGCACAGTACTTGACAGAAATTCATCATTTGTGAGCAAAGACTTAGTAGCCACATGTAGCATACACAACAGAAAAGGTAAAATAGATCCTGTTATTTCTGGTTGTATGTGTTTGTCCTGCAGACTGGAGAACTAGAGCTAGTTGTTGATTGGCCAGCTTGAGGAATTCTGGAATTCCAATAATTCCAGAAGTCATTTTGGTGGCTGATAATTTTCCAGGGAGGATTTCTGAGATCTCTAAAAGCTGTAGACTACTGTATGCACTGCAGTTGTAAATTGACAGGCAGTAACAGAAAAAGATAATGCTATATTAAATGATTTGATAGCAGGTTATTTGGGAAAATGGGTAAGAGCAGTAGGATCAAACAGCAACAACAAACCCACAACAACAGAAATCACCAAATAATGACCAATTATGTTGAATCCCCAAGTTTTTCTGCCTGCTCTGAGAAAGGCTGTTTTCTCCTTCAGTGCTCAGCTGGTCTGCTAGATGAGCCCTGAAAATAATCTGGGAGAGTTGTCTGTGGAATTTGTGAAGTCCTTAATTCAAAATAGTTACAAACACTAAGCAACTAAGGTAAACATGTCAGTGATATTCATGAGTCAGCTCCTGAGACGTTCTAGTCTATACACTATGGAAGGGAAGGATTGGCATTCTAAAAAGCTCAGAAAAATACTAATCTTGAACTTCAGACCATTTAAAAATGCACTTCTTAGCTACTTTGAAGACACTTAAATTTGCAGGTTGGTAAAGGATTTCCTGTTTTACATTTAAGCCAGAAAATAAGAGGTTGTTCAAGACCTGTGCAGCAAGTCTACAACAAGCACAAACATGATCATTTTCTCCAGCAACATCTCCAGGGTTACTTGCAAACAAATGTACTCATTAATCTTTTGTAAATTCTGTATGAAATTTAACAGTGGCAGAAGCCTGAAAGAGTCCCACCCATTTTGAAGATGCCATACCTGTTCAGGCAGATATGGCAGAAAAAGACAAGCTGTTCACCTGAGAAATATTACCAGAAAAGGAGCTTGTCATGTGTCAGAGTCCTTAAAAAACACTTGGGTGTGCCAGTTTTATGCATTAATTACCTGCAATGGACATCTGCTTCTCTGAGGTTCCAGCCTCCTCCTCTATTGCTCTTTCCACTGACTTTTTCACCAAAACAAATGAAGGAAAACAGAAATAATTGTACCTGCTGCTTTGTTTTTTCTCATCACAAAGGTCCAACAAGGAACAAGAGGTTTTCTATGAACCAGCTATCAGCTATGAAAAGCATAAGCTGCTGAATGGACATTGCCAACAAAATCAGTTTGCCTGAGGTCATGACAATGTCAGGAAGTCAAAATTAATATAAAATTAATATAAAATTGACTAGACTTAAATACAGTCTGACTAACACTGAATCTCTCCAGGTATTTCATTTAGTGTTATTGTTTTATGCAGACGAGTCAGCCAGGAAGTCCAAAGAGCTACATTTCTCATTTTTCATCCTTACCCCTTGAAGCTCTGCTTCTTTTTCAGTTTAGATAGACCTGGTAGAGATGGAGGAAACTACATGAGGAGTCTCGTGGATGGACTTTCAAGATGGTTATGCAGATCTTCAAGAGAAAGCTTTTCTTAAAGCTGGCTTTTTTTTAAGAAGCAGGAGGCTTGTGTGTCAAATACTGCCTTATGGTATTGAAGAGTTTCTGAAATGCAAAAAACTCCTTGACAACCTTCCACCCATTTAACGAATTAAAAAATAATTCCCAGTGCTGGAAAGAAGAGAGACTGTTGTTTTTTTCCAGTGCTGCAAAGAAGATAAGAATGCTGTTTTTACAACTCCATGATTGGGTAAAAAATGCTACTACAGTAATTAATCTACTCCCAGTCCCCCTTTGTCCAAGAAGATGGAACACATCATCCCAAGAAGCTTGATTTACCTAAGCAGCTTTTTGGAATATTTTGGAATATTTTTTAATGCCACAAGAGCAGCAGGTGAAATAGTAGAGCTATGCATTATGGAGAAGCTTCTGATAGGGGAAGAAAGCACAAAAAATGCCCTCACTGCAGTCTACATCTTCCTCACGAGGGGAAGAAGAGGGGCGGGCGCTGATCTCTTCTCTGTGGTGACCAGAGGTAAGGCCCAAGGGAATGGCATGAAGTTGTGTCATGGGATGCTTAGGTTAGATATTAGAAAAGGTTTTTCACCCAGAGGGTGGTTGGGCACTGGAACAGGCTCCCCAGGGTCACAGCACCAAGAGTGCCAGAGTTCAAGAAGCATTTGGACAACACTCTCAGGTACACAGTGTGATTCCTGGGGTTGTCCTGTGCAGGGCCAAGAGCTGGACTTTGATAATCCTTGAGGGAACCTTCCAATTAAGGATATTCTATAATTCTAAACTAAGAAAAAACTTACATTTAGATCAATGTAACTTTGGGACAGATCAAGTCCTGGCATTATCATTCTGAAAGCACAAGATTTTCGTTGGCCAGTACCAGAAGCATGACTTCTCAGAAAATGTTCAGTCTGGAAGGTCGAGACCTTCAATCTCAAGAGACTCAAGCTGCTCAGCGTTTCCAAATGCCAGATGTCAGGGAAACAGCTATCAGTTTACACCAGTTAAAAATAAAGGACCCATGGATTCATTCACCTCTTGTCCCTTGTACATTGTGGCTTGCAAGTGATTCCATGGAATGGTCTCTTAATCCTCCTACCTTTTAAAGTGCAATTGACTCCACAGAGCAATAGAGAGGGGTTAATTAAAAAGTCCTGTGCAAGTATTCTTAAATGCACATTCTCCTTTGAAGTTATTTCAAATGCAGAAATATCCAGAACTGGAAGTTAAGCATGATATTTTGGTAAACCACCAAGTCCTTTCCTCTGGAATCATACATGCAGTGGAAAAGCAATCATGATTTTATAACTCTCATGGAAAGGCAGTGTGGCACAAGTGAAGGCTGGCTCTGACACCTCTTACTGTCAAGCTAGACATGAGGCCACGTCCAGCCACACGAAATTTGCCCTCTGGCACTCTCAAAGCCTCTAATCCCTGCACGTGCTCCTCAGATCTCAAGAAAGGTCTCAAGCTGCACTCAGGCACTGAGTTTTCAGTCTGAGTAAGCTTGTTATTTCAAGAGGATTAACTTGGTATTAATATTAACACCATGATTACTCCTTGCATAGTCTTCCTTTTCAGTATGCTGAGTTTCTGTTCGTGGATTAGCCTGATTCTTTTTTATTATTATTATTATCATCATCATTATTATTATTATTATTGCTGCTATGGACAGCACTATTTAATTATTTGTATAAAGTCTCCATCTCAAAAGCCCAGAGAATACTGCAATAAACAAATAGCACAATAACAGCAGATCCTTATACTATTGGGAGTACACGATACAAATTTGGTTTATGTCAGACCATCAACTAGCATATTAATTAATAACAAATAACAATTTAATGCTGAGATTCTTTTCTAGACTCTCCAGCATACATTAGCATCATGAAAGTATTGAATTCAGGGTTAATTTATAAGTACAATTCTCTCAGTTTGGATGTTGCGGTTTGTCATGTTGTTGTTGTTCTTTGTCATTGCCCTAACTTTTCAATGAGTATATCAATATTAGCACATGTTAATTTGTTAATTCTTCCATGTGCATTTTGAATTTGAATCTAAGAGGAAGGGAATATAAACAGTTTCATGAATGTTGGAAAGTTAAGGAACCAGAACTTGACAGAAAAGCACAACTACAACACGACTCATGCTAAAAAAAAAAAAAAAAGCCACCTTAAATATAGAAAGAAAGTTATATTAGTAGAATGGTGCTAAACTGCCCACAGCCCATACTTGATTTATGCAGTTTCATGCTCTTTGATGGAGAGACTCCCAAATCGTCTTATAAACATGCTTCCCTGAAAGGAACAGAAAAGTCATCACAGCACTTCAATGAAAGGAGTCCTGAATTTGGTACTTGTGCCACACCACTTCTCTGACACCTTTTCGGGTTTTTTTGGTTTTTTTTTTTTTTTTTGTGTGTGTGTGAGTAGGGAGGGGAAATTCAGCAATACTGTTTATTAGGGTTAGTTATGCTCCCTCTGGGAGTTACTACATCTAGTCAGTCTCCTCACCATGGAAATCCATTCTGCAAGTGCTTCAAAAAGAAATGGAGAGAACTGTAACACCAAAAGAGTGCCTGTCAAACCACTGCCAATTAGTTTGGTTTGTGGCTAAACAGAGTCATACACAGGCAGGGTGACAGGTGTTTGTATTTGTCAAGTGTGTGGTTTTAAAAAAAAACAATGCCTTCAACAACGCAGAGCTAGGGAAGTATTTTTTAGAGGTTAAATTTGTTATGTGTCACTTTCAAAAATAAATACAATGAAAACAAAAATTTATGGAAGAATTACAGTGTTTCCTTCTATCAAAACATGTCAACATAGAGAGAAATAGAGGAAAACTTCATACTAGTTTTGGACTTTTTGACCAATCCAGTCACTTAGAATCTGACCTCAAAATCCATTTTGTTTTAACATTATTTCTGTAGGCATCTTGGTACATGGGCTCTCTTTTCATCATACTTAAGTTTCAAGTGGTAGGCAAGGAATGATCTTGATTTCTGAGCAGGGTCATTAGGAGTTATCCCAATACAAATAAAAGTAGGTGATTTAGCTTTGGGAGAGAATCGTGGCATATTCCTCTGGAGTTCATGTGAAGGTTTATTTAATGCTGGCACATCTCAAACTCAGAATCAAAGAATTTTCAGCTGAACACTACTTGGACCTGGCTACAGATAGAGGGATTTTTCTTATAATCCCCTTTTGTGGATTCAACAGACACTTATATGAGACTTAGTTTTCCAGCTAATAATACACTTATAAGAAGATGCTGCCCTGAAGTGAAAGTTGGATGGTGCTCTGAGCAACCTGGTCT